AATCTGGAAGACATGTATCAATGGAGTTTTTCAGAAGTCAGTAATGGATTCAATGCTGTTCAATACCTTCACAAATGATTTGCATGACAGGTCAAACAAAAGGAGAAGGAGTCATAGATACAGTGGAAGGAATAGCTCCTTTACAGAAGACCTGGCTAATAGAAATTACATGACTTCCATGATTTTGTAAGATTTTACATGATTAATGTAAAGTCTTACACCTTTGACAAAATCTTCAGAAGCACTGCAGGCTGGGGATGAAGTGGTAGGGGAGAAGCTTTGCTGAAAATGATGTGGTGGTCTTAGTGGATAGCAAGTTGAATTCAGACCATGTATCCTGACAGCAAATTGGATAAACTGTGTGTATAGCTCAGGAAGATCAAGGGGTGTGACTATTCCAGTCTATTGGGTACCAGTTATATAACACCTGGAATACTGTGCCCATTTGAGTTTCTACCAGTTCAAGAGAGACATTGAAAAACTGTAAAGAACTCTTAAACATAAAAACAGGTTGCCCTGCAAAGTGCTAGAATCTCTTTCACTGGAAAGAGTCAAGATTTGTTTTGAAAATGCCACAGATTAGCTAATCTATGGTTCTGCTTGCAACAGAATATCAGATAAGGTCCTGAGGTCCTTTGAAACCTAAACTTCCCTGATTTTGTGATCAATGTGTCACTGTAAAAAGTAAAGAATTACTTAGTGAGGTTTTACAGTCTTGGGTCAGGTTTCATTCAATAGTGTTATTAACACCTTGGATGACAGAATACAGAGTGCATGTATTAAATCTGCAATTTGGGAGAGACAAGTACAGAATAATACACAAAAGCAGGCATAATGGGTTCACAAATGCAGAATAAGAAGCAAGTCATTATGCAAATCTTTTGGGTACTGGCTCAGATGCATAGCCTGAGTCAAAAATATCTTACTATTGTGAAAAGGCAATCAAACTGGGAGTTATGAACATACTGAGAGACAGAAAAATATGTGAAAATGTGTGAAATAATTCCTTTCTCAAAGAAACATGGGGAAAACCCCTTCCAAAATGCTGAGTCCATTTTTAGAAACTGTATTTTAAGAAAGATTTGGGATAGCAGGTGGGAAAATGATGAAAATGTTGTCAGTCTATAAATACGATCCATGAGGAGAGACTGGCCAAACTACTGCTGTTTAGTTTAAAGCACAGAAAATATTCTTGCTGAAATATGGAAAAGAGCGATTCAAAGGAAAAATGGAATAATTTGTTCTTTATATAGAAACATCTTTTGAAATAAGGTGTTTAACTACATCAAAAAAAAAATTGAAAGATTTGTACTTGAATTGGAAAAAAAAATCTACTTGTAAAGCCAGTTAATGACTGGAGTGCTTGGACACTTTCTTGGAAATAAAGAATAGTTAGACCTATTGGAAATTAATACAGTCGAGGTAATGATTCTGTGATTCTGACTTTTTAGTATAATATTCAGCCCTATTTATCTGTGATGTGTACACATGGCTATCTGTATATACATGTATACATTGTTACTCATCATCATATTCAACAGGCCCAGATGCATCTGGGCATTTTTCAGATGAATTGTGGCAAAGGTGGGTCTTTTAAAATTATACTAAAGATAAGTGGTACTTATAAAGGTAAGATTACATACATTTAACTTATACATTTGGATTACTCATGTTAATCAAAATGATGTTTAGAATTTTTGTCTATCAAAATAAAAGATGCTGTCTAGAGAATATATAAAGACACTATAAATACTGAAATGAACTAATCAAAAATACCAAAATGAAAGTGCATTCTAAAATTGTCAGAATCCTATTGAAATGCATAATATAATTTGTCTCTTTTTATAGTATTAAACCAAACTTATTTTGTTAATTAGATAATCATGATTAAAACCATAAAAACTATCTACTTTAGTTTTCTTAGATGCATATAATTAATTGAAAAGCACATTTTCATTCTACAGATTTCATGAGGTTTCCTATCTTACTGCACTTGCAGAACTTGCTGCTGACTTGCCAGCACGCTTATAAAGGGCAGCATTCACAAACATTACACAGAGGCTGAGAGACAAGCAAGCAGAAAGCAAGAGTGGCAGGCGTGAAAATAAAAAGGCAAATCAGCCGACCATGAATAGATCTATCTGTTTCGTTTCCTGAAATGTAAATGGGAGGAAGAGATTTATCAACTGGCAAATAGTTTCATAAAGTAGATAATTGTCTCTGCTAAGCAAGTTGACTTTGCAATAATGGCCTTGTCCTGCAGGGGATCAAGGAATCCCACAGAAAATAAATAAGTAGAGCCTCAGAACTGAAGTATTTAGCCTTTACTTCTTGAAGGAATTTACAGAAAAGTCAATGTAACCAGTCATGTTTATACAAGCATATTAAGCATTTCTTGTGATAGGAAATAACTGAGTATTGTAGATTTTTTTTTCCATCTTTCTTTCAAAAACAAGCTTCCACTGTAACTCACTATGACGTGAATGTTTATTCAAAGGTTCTCGTGGCATCTTCTGAGCACTTTCCCTTTTTCAGGGAGGATGGGAGAAGGTTGTCAGTTCTATTGCCTTGTACAAACAACGTGCTGCAACATGCTGATACTTCACAAGTCCTAGCTATTGAGGTTATTGAAGTTAGGCAAACCCAGAGCTACCCAGAAGAATTCACTAAAAAATAAAAATAAAAATAAATAAAAAAAGGGAGGGGGGCAGTCTGACTGTAATTCAGTTTAGTCAAGATGTCTAATATAAGTTAGCAATTTCCCATAGTCTTTTCTAAAAGTCAAAGGATTCAGAAATCAGAAATCCTAAATCAGTTCTTTAACTGGTCTTAAGGCACAAAAGATATCCATAATCTGCATCATTTGCTTATGTTTTATAAGCGATGTATCAGTTTTACTTCTTAGAGTCCTATTTTGTTTCTCCTGCAGAAATGCTTCAGATTTATTCCAATTTTCACTTTCATGAATATGATCCTATGCCAGTTCCAGCTGGTATTATATAATTCCTAAAGAGATTTAATCTTTCATTTTTGTCAGGCATTTACAGTGAGCCACTCACATGCCCTCTGAGGAGGACTCTGAAGTCATGAGGATTTATATTGTCAAATCAAATGCATCTAATGGAATGGGAAACTTCCCACTTGGAACTCAGCACAATTACAGTACATTAATATAACTAATTCTTAATATTCACAGGCCACTTTTGAAAAATGTATTTTTCAAAACGCTTTTTGATGTGTGCACAATAACATTTACATAAGCGAATGAAAACAATTGCAGGCTATATTGTTCAAGGAGGAAACAAAAAAAATGCAAAAAAAGAAAGACAAATACTTTAAGTGGCATTTTAAAGAATAATAGAAGTATATACTATGATTTATACCATGATAATCTACAAAGTTTCATCAGATCAGAAGACAAAACTGGTTTCTTGTATAAAATAACATTTATACATGATTGCCTTATTTGTTTGCCCAAATGCTATGTAGACAAATATCCAAATTCAATAAACAAATGCATGATATCCAAATTCAATAAACAAATGCATGAATATTTCTTCAGATGCTTTCTCTATGCTACTATGTGATACTTATACTACTTAGGCAAAAATCTCTAAATATTTATTGTGTGCTCTGTGCATGAAATTTACAGAAGACATCATTATAAGTCTAGAAAAAGAATTTAGATTCCATCTTTAGTATGTTTAAGAGTTTAACTAAAACTTCTTGTTAATCAAAAGAACAAAATTATAGCCCACCAAAGGTATTTAAACCAGTAATTTTAATGTAACTAATGACACTCTAAAGCATTTAGTATGTAAGCATAAGTAGATGAATCTCTACTGTTTGTGTTTCTTCTCTCCTGAAAAATGGGGCTAAAATCGTATCTTGGTTTTATTCTTAATACTAAGAATGACTTTCTGTTCACTGTTTAGCTTTCTGTTTATACACATCTAATATCACATATTGACATTTTGTGTTCGTACATGTTCATGCTGTTGTTATAAATATTTTAATGATCTGACTTAATTGCATTCTGTACAATATTGGTTTTGAATTTGCAGTCACTGAAGAATTCACAATTTACTAAGTTGCCCTTTGTCCTCGTAGGAATAATTCATTCTCTGTTTAAATAATGGAAAAATCTATTGTTTCACCATTAAATTGCAAAGGATCTTAACTCTATTTTATCTGAATATGGAAATCATTTTTTCTGAGTTACCTTGTAGTTCAAAGGATCATAAGATCTATTGTTTTGTGATCTCTAAATGTGGAAGTCTTCCCAGCTCACTACATAGACACCTATCTTTATCAATGCAGTTTAAGACTTAGTTGGGATTTCTGCGTCTTATTGTATGACCATTTCAGTAGTACCAGAACACCTCCACCATTTTTCCATTTAGACTGTCACAATATTTCATTAGCTACATAATTTTCCAGTTCTTATGAGTTTCTACCATACACCAGCTGGATATCATACTCAAGCATTCTCTCTTTCACAACTGAAAAGGTTCTCTTTGGAACTCTTAAGGATCACTAAGTATCTATAATCCCAATTTACAAAGTAAACATCCAACCAGAATCCCACACCCAAGTACTCTCTGTGAAAAAAAAAAAAAAAGTATTTTTCAATATTCTGATCAATCCTACATAAAAATCCTCTAATTTGCTTAAAACATATGTAATGGAGATACTACTGATTGTGAACTGAATGACTACTCTTCTGAAATCTGTCCTTTATCAAATGGTAATCAAATGGGGAGACTTAATATTGACCATGAGATAGGATTTCATCAAGTTTTCATTTAAAGACCCAATTATGGCATACCAAAATACAGAAAAAAAAATCATATTAAAGAAAACAATTTATGGTAGTGTCACTCATTGTTAATGAGGATATAAAGGTTAAAAAATAATGTATTTACAAAAGATTAATAACATTAGCTATCAAACAATAGATAGATATGAAACAAATCACTAAAAGCATAAGAATTCTTTACCTTTACACACAGGTCTATGATCACTCCATGCAGCAAAAACTTCAGCTATCCTCTGGCAGGTGATACTTTTTGAACCTTGTAGCACATAATCTTCATCACAGGAAAACTGTACTGTTGCTCCCAAGCTAAAATCAAACAATGAAATGAAATGGAAAAAAAAATACATTAGTTTTTTCATTCTTTTAGGTACCACAGTTTTGAGAAATGATACGAACTTGCATCTCAGTAAATGCAATTTTTTGTTTCTAGTAGGAAAAGGCCATGGGCTATGTATCAAGCTGACAGTGCAGGGTCTCAGCACCTATGTGGGCTTGCCTTTCCTAGAGCTGGTTTAGCTTATTTTAACAACAGTTTGGTAGTAAAGTGACTGTTTTCTGAACAGTCTTAGTCTTGCCTCTGACTGTTATGTATGACAAAGATCCAAAACAAAGAGGCTAGGAAGCAATGAGAGAGAGATGTGTGAAAATCATATAGAAGAAGAGTTGCAATTGAATCACAAGACTGAAGAAGAAATTCCTGATATGAGCATTATATTTCTCCTGGTGAAGTGCTCAGGACACAAACAACTTGCTGCAGAGGTTTCTCATCCTTATTTCTTGAGGAAGACTGGTGCTTTCGATCATAAGACCCAAAGAGACATTGGAATGGGGAGGACAACATCAGAAAAATAGGGGTTCACAATGTTTCTTGTAAACATTCACAATGTTGTAAAGTACTTTTTGGACCTTATATATACTTTAAATAACTACTTTAAATAAATATACATTAATAAATACTTTATTAATGAGGCCTTTCTGTACTAGTTTGGACTGGGTGTGCTAGTATTGTTGTAACAGGACTACCATTAACTGATTCTAATTAGTAAGTTCAACATTATGATTTTAATTATTAAATTCTTGGCTCCATATATTTGACGGATTTTTTCTTGCCAGTAACAGGATTTTGAGGGTAGCAACTATTAGACAATGGAAGGTCCAAAGTGAATATGAATGGGAATGTGTTTCTCAAGTAATAGAGGAAAATAAAAGAGTTGTGAAAACACCTTTCTAGGTATTTGACTGTGATTATTTATGAAGTGACAAAACTGGCTTCAAAAGTTTTTGTACTGTTTCCACACAGAGCAAACATTTGTTGCTGTAAAATTGTCACAGAAAAAAGCTAGAAAAAAAGCCCAGAAAAGCTTGTTTTGGTTGGTTTGTTAGTATTTTTGAGGGGAGGTTTTTGTTTGTTTGTTTTTGTTTTTAATATTACTTTTTTTCTGATAGCTAAGAATCATTATTGTTCTATGTCTTGATTGCAGTTGAAAATTATACATCCAGCATCAACCTGAGATCAGTAACTTACACTCCATAGTCTCCTCTCTCTCCTCTCCTCTCCTCTCCTCTCCTCTCCACTTTCTTCTTTGCTTGTCCATCAAAGTTGTAAAGAAAGTAAGTTTTTAAAAAGTATGACTATGCATAGCCTATCATATCGAGAGCACTTTTTTGCTTTATGAGGTGTGAAATGACTGTTACTATGTATGTGAACTAAAGAGTAGTGCTACTTTTTTATCCAATTTATCATGTGCAACTGATGAAATAGAATCATATAGCTGTAGATTTTATCGTATTATTGCATGCTTGGGCCAAAAATGAATGGCATTTGGAAAATAACCTTCTTTTCTCTTACAGTCAAGAAGAAGGTGTTCTGGGCACTCTGAGAAGAGTCAAATAAAATGAAAGACAATATTTGGACAATGTACTTTATAGTGATAGTGCCTTTTGCAATGAAGAATATTTTGTAAGTGGGATTTAGTGAACCTTCTTCTCTTTTATTACCGTTATAGCAGCCTTGAAGCTTTATAGTGTGGTATTAAAAATTTGAAATGAAATTTGAAAGAAGCATTGTATATTTGTGTGTGTGTGTGTAATTCATACTTTCTCCAATGCCACCTTCAATGTAACATTAAAGGCTCTGGCACACTGTGCATGTAGTTCTCAGGGTATTCTAAGAATCAATATGGAGTTGCTGCCACACATATTATCTGCTCTAGCCTATATTTCCTTTGTGATCCTATAAATCACAGAAATATCTGACTATCCTCCAGTCCATGCCATAGACAGCTACCACATTTTACAGCCTCTGCTATCTATTTCCAAAAAAAACTGAAGGAGGATGTTTTGTAAATCTCCATAAGCAAAGCTCCCATATTGTTATAGTTTTTCATGTAACCTAAGCTCGTCAGGAAAATGCATCTCCCATAAAGTTAGAAGCCTAGGCAAGATCCGCATGTATGAATGTTTTCCTGGAATTATTCACATATACAATCTTTCAAATCTGTCTAGTAGAAGCTTTTGTTGTTAGTTGTTTCTGCTGAGATTATTTTTCTCCAATAGTGTTCATCCAGAATGGAAAAGAATTCAGTTCAAAATCTTTTATTGGGGAAAGATTGATTGATACCCAGGTGTGAAAGGTTAGAACCGCTTGTGCTCTCAAACTTGGGTATCAACCTTCCCAGTGTGCTAGGTGATATGTGAAGTTTCAAAGAGGTCATGGGGATTACATAAGAAAGTAATTTCAGGAAGGTATATTATTCAGGAGGTAATTATTAGTTTTTAAGAGAGAATCACATAGATAGGCTTACATTTACATTCTTTAGACTTAACTCATTCACACGGTCATGGGTCTCACCTGAATCTGGTTTGATACCCTTGTGACTCTAAAGACACAGCAACAATTTCTGAGTGTTTTTTGTTTTGTTTTGTTTTTCAATTAAATCTAAAATAATTTGAGCAGTGTTTAATGGCACCTATTTTATATCCAGAAGTATTTCATGAGAACATATCAGATATGTGATCAGAGCCTATTGGAATAGTTTTAGAGTACTGCAAATTGTGGAAAAAACGTTAAAATCAGATCATGTAAGCCAATTTTTGGAGACCTCTTATTTCAGAGAAAGCTGAGTGATTGGTCCAAAATGAATTCTGTGAGCAAAGAGACTCACTCTAGGAGCAAACAAGCCAATGAATTATAGGGACAGTTAAAGGCAGTTTTATCCCCTGGCTTATATTTGATCCAAATCAGTTAATCAATAAACTCCTTAAAATAGTGTGCAGGTGTGTAGACTATAGTCACTATATCTGTTTTGCTTGTCCTCAAGAGGACTGAAGCCTGACATAACCATGGATTTTTTTATTGTTACATAAAATATAGACATGTACCACCCCCCCCCCCAAAAAAAAAGCCAACACTGAGAGTGATCAAAAGAATGCTCAGGGAAAAACATTGGAATAGGACAAGCATATGCACAGTCATTTTCTTATCTTTCCCATATTCAAAGCATTTGTGTCTTCCAGAGCTGAAGCTATTTAGTAGCCCTCTCTATTTAGTAGCCCTCTTTCTTTTTTTGTTTGTTTGTTTGTTTTTTGGTTTTGTTTTGTTTGTTTGTTTGTTTGTCTGTTTTTTTGTGAGGTAAATTTGCTAGGCTAATGACCAGTTAGAGCTAAGACTCGTAAGTCTCATTAATGATAAAAAGGAGAGATTCTAGAGTGTCTTAGCCACAAAAGAAAGTTCACGTACAATGTGAGTCTATTAATAAATGGATGAGGCAACCTAGTAAATGTTGAATCCCACATGGAAAAGGCCTTTTCTGCATTCCCCTTCAGACATAACGGGGAGAGACAACAGTTAAGAGCAGATAGATGTATTCAAATCCATGCAGCCAGATCAGTTTCACCAAAGGATCTTGAAGAATCAAACTGATGCTATGCAAGGCTGATATCTTTGAAATATGGCAAATGA